CCCTCGCCAGAAAACGCACAAAAGAACCCCCCCCCACCCCAAAGATACCAAGAGTGCACGTGAAAATGTGCCAAAAGAAAATTTCAGTGGAAACCAGAAGTAAAAACACAGCTAATAATGCACAATACAATCAGTCACAAAAAAGTGAAATTTAAAAATAGGTTACATAACAAAAAAGAACGTCTTTTAGAATGTGTCGGTTTGTCCTCGTATAACATCAGAATTTGCAGTGCACAGACTTACATATATCGTCAGCGTCATTCCACAAATGTTTAAGTCATCTTTTGAAGTTTCGGGATTTAAAAAAAATAGAGGGCCAAAACAAGATCCATGAATTGGGCACTTGTTATTTTCATTTTTCAATTAAAAACAAGGAAAGAAAAGGCAAAACAGCATATAACTATACTGTAATGTGTCCATTGATATTTTTGTTCAAAAAACGGCTTCATCTCAAAACCTCCAGAATTTGACTTGGGCAACCATGGAGTGGCACTGACATTACTGACAAGATCTATTTGATTTTAAAAAACCAAAACTTTCAAAATACAAATACACACAAAATCCTCCTTCACATGCATGACCATATAATTATTATTTAGACAAGCTTAAAGCTTTCTTACGTTTGTTTTGCACGAAATGTATACACGAGTTCAAGATTATAATCATACTTTTGCATTATAGTATCACACATCATCAGTATTATCTTCCCAAATCGATAGACAATCATTATGAAACAGTTTCTCCCAAACCAGACACACTCACTTCAGATTATACAACATTATATATACACGACGCATGGTGCAACATCGCGCTTCTGCACCATTTTGATTATGTGGCAAATTCCCTGGGTTGTGTGAAACAAGAGCATGCTAATGCTAGCTAGCAGCGGAGATCCGGTCAGCTCTGGCTTACTAGGCCTCATCATACAGTAGAGAGAGATATGAATTATATCGACACTGGCACCCCCCCCCCCACGACACACGCTGCTGAACAATGAGTGAACCACCACAAGGGATGTGCAAGCAATGTGGTTTTGTTTCGCTTGGTCAAAGTTGAATTATTCGATTTGTACGCTGAGACTTTATCATTCGGCCTCAAAATCTAATCCCACAGAGGGACAGTTCACAAGAGGTTTTAAACGTCAAATAGCGCCATGATAAAACTGGGAGGAAAACCGCACTTTGTGTAGGCGACACAGTACACGACTTCCCGAGATGAAGAGACAACGAAGTGATGACAAAGACTGATGCCAAGTTATCAGCAGTAATGCACATGTATGCGGCGGGTATAGCTTCTCATCAAATAGACTACACATTATACGGGAATTCTAAAGAAGACCAAGTTTTAACCCCGCCCCCAAAACCCACAAAAAAATGATTTAAAAAGACACACCCCACAATAATTTTTTTAAATGAAATGTTATTTTTTTTAAACGAACCCATCGACGAGAAATGCAAAATTACAGTTCAAAGTGTAAGCATAAAAAAGTCATCGAAACCAAACCAATTCCGCATGAGGTATGTAATAATAAATTCGAATATCAAAGGTGGGGTCAACTCGTAAGAACAAAGAAAATCATCAAGAACTTGAAATTTAGATACATGAAACTAGTAACAATCTCGAAAGAAATTCTAAACGAAGACTTTGACAAATCATTCTGAAACAAAATTCTTAAACCACTTGCCAATTTGTTTGATTGATCTTTTAGTCGGAATATTGGGTGCTTTTCTTCCAAACTGATGATGTTCAACTAATAATAATAAAGTAAGTTCAAAGCAATCTCAGGGCTAAGGAGAGTGGTCCCTGGACAAAAAAAAGGTTCAGCAACTAATCAAGGATATTCAAGTCACTACCCAAAATGATTGAGGGAAAGGTATCATACTTTGGATCTACGTAATAAAAGCTATGATCACAGACAAGTAAACTTACTATCAACCTGTCTATTCAGTTTGAGATGACAGGATCCTCATTAAAAAGCGCAGCAGTTTCCTTTTAACAAAGCCTACAACTTTGAATTGATGTAAAAAAGTTTCCTTGACCTCGCCGTAAAGACATGTGCATCAGTACACTAGGAAATGATCCTCTTACGTCCCTCGTGGATGGTGCAACTTTCCTCTGGGCACGAGTAGACAGTAAGTCTCTAGCATCACTTGAGAATCATCGCGCATTATCATTAGCCATTTATAATATTTAAGATCTTTGCTCCCCTGGTGAATGTGGCAATCACTGGCAGATAATGTGTTAAAGATAATATATTATAAGCCTCATATTCGTGAGGAGGAGCTCTCTCGATTGGTTTCTCAAAACCGTCCAGGGTAGAACTAGTCACATAATATTATAACATTACTAATGGATCAAGTCTCTATCTCACACATATTCTTCATAGTCATGATCCACCGCCCCTTCCACAGTCTGTTGGCCAGTGTCCGGCAACTGAGCTATGTCCCTAAACACACCCACCAGCTTGTCAAAGTTGGGCCCCCAGTTGAGCAAAGCGTCGAAGTCGTAGGTGCTCCCAAGGACCGGGTGGGGGGCGGGGCTGGACGGGCTGCCCGAGGAAGAGGCGTTGGTGCTCGCGAATGAGTCGCCGTTTGAATTGAGCCCGTCAGAATGGGCGCTGAGCTTTCCGCTTTGGTTCGGGTAGTGCAACATTGCCTCGTCCGACTCGTTCTCGACTTCGGTGAGCTGGGAGAAAATTCTTTTGCTGGGGTCAAGGTCGAGTTTTGTCCGAGCGTTTTCGTTATCGTACTCGAACTCGGAACACGTGAAAGAATCGTTGGCCCCACTGTCGTCTGAGCTGGAATCAGGGGGTTCTAAAAGGATGCTACTGTCTAATACTGGTTCGTGGGGGATGATAGGGGGAGGGGGTAGGCGGGGCCTCTCTTTGACGGAGGAGGAGCCTGCATCCATCATGCTGACGGGGTCGTGGTAGTCTGGGCGGGCGTTGAGTCTATTTACATCTTCCACCGTGAGGCCTTTGGGAGGGCGGCCGCGGCTGGAGGAGGTGGGTTTGCTGTTATGAGCTCTGAGCGCTGCAGAATAGGAGGGTGGTGGCGGAGGCGCGGCCGGCTGAAGACTGGGCATCCCTGTAGCCGATGAGCTGGAGCTGTGGCTATGGTGGCTCCCGATGGACTGAGCAGAGTTGCTACGGCTATTGTTGCTGTTGTTGTAGTTACTGTGTGGGTGAGTACGCGGGCTGCGCACATTCAGCTGAGTGAGCGGACTGGCCCGCGCTCTGCCGCCATCTTGGTGATGCAATGCCGCCAACGCCGAACTAGGTCGCCCACCATTGGCTGCTACAGAGGGAGGGGTGTGGTTGGGCACTGAGAGGGCGGAGCCTGTCAGCGAAACAGGGCTTTGACGTATGTGATGATTGACAGTGGGACCACCCTGAGGGCTGGCTCTGTAATTAGACGCCGACATACTAGCCGGACTGTCTCTGTACTTGTTAAACAAATGATTATTTAATCCTGAAGGCTGTTTATGGTTCTGGTGTTTGTAGTGGTGATGTGTGCCGTTGCGGAAATCTCTGTAGTGTCGGATGACGTCAGATGGCGTGATGTCTGAGGGCGCTATGCTACTGGCGTTCTCAAAGTCGTAGAGCTCGGGGGCATCCTCCTCAGCTCCCCCTCCCATCATGCTGGTCATCTCACCCGTCTCCATGATCACAGTCCCATCAGCCAACTGGACAGGCTGGGGAGAGTAGCTTGAACCAATAAGATCAGGCCTTGCCGTGAGAGAGCTTGTCTTCTGCCCCGCCAGATTCTCCATGATGTGATTCCGGATGATCTCCCCTTCGTTGGGGTTGAGAGCGTACCTCGAGCCTGGTACCACGCCTGCATCGTCCACAGCTGGAATTATACTGTCCACATGCACGTTCGCCTTTCCGTTGCCACTGATCCCCGAAGAGCCAACCAGCCCGCGGTTCTCCTTCTTCGTCTTGACACAACGCTGGAAGAGGTCGCGCCGCGTGCGGAAGAGGACGAAGACGACAACGATAGCGATGAGAAGGATGACAAAGAAGACGATAACCACGATAATACCCGTCTCCAGGCTGCTCGACTCCGCGACCAGCAGGCACTGAAAGACCTCGCCGTCCACCACGCACGTGTTGCTGCCCCCGCAAGGGTTGTGCTCACACAGGGCGCTACAGTTGCCGCTGTACTTGCCTTGGACTTCGATGTCGTACTTATCCGTGGAGCCGTTGAGAGGTAACGCCTCGCCGTTGATGTGGAACAGCGACAGACACCCGTCTAGGCCTGAATGGGAAAACACAAATAACACACGTTGTGTATTGACATGTTTATAGTTTTACAAGTGTGTGCCACTAACTATGGTTAAGAAGGGCGACTCAAGAGCTGACATGGTTTCATATGAAACAAGGTGCTTATGACCCTTTGTTCGAACCCCCAGAGGACACTTTTCAAAGTTCTCAACGTACTTGGTTTGTCCTTTCGGAGATGGATGTCGAATTCGAAAGTCTAGCTTTTTAAACAACCTTCCATTCTTAAAGGGATGTTAAACCAGTAGCACATGCCTATGTGTTTTATTATGATCTATTTATATTCCTGGTACAACGGGTTAAGTATTATTTGAGTCTCTTCCAATATATAATACTAAATAAGTATGACATCACATCTCAAATCCCTCTTGCCACACATTGTGATTACTTTGATTTCTTACCGTTAATCTCCTTATTATTCGGAGGCACATTCGCGTTCCCACTGATGGTCATCTCAGTCATGTCCGACGAGTCAAACGAGAACCGTATTCCAAAGTCTCTGGTCTGAGACGTGGTGCCGTCAAACTCGAGGAAGTACTCGGTGCCAGTAGCAGTGACAGTGACGTTGTGCCACCTGCCATCACTGACAGTAGACACTTGCATGACCAACGGGTCCATCACAGAACCCCTGGTCTTCAGCAGGAAATAGATCTGTCCAAACTCGAACTGGGGATCACAGTGGGACAAGTCAAGTCAAATGAAAGCCGAGTTTTGTTTTAGTTTCAGTATAAGTTTTACGGTGCTTGCAACACAAATAGGTCACAAAAAGGCCGAAGATCAGAAGTGTTATCAGGGAGTAACTTATAGCGAAAAAAATGGAGCATAGATAGAGACGATAAAAACTGATAGGAAAGAAGGAGTAAAACACACAAGAGCGCCCGCCAACAATGTACACCGAGTTCTACGACGATATTATTTATTTGTGAGAGTAAAGAGAGGCTCATCGATACAATTGCCACGGTCTGAGTTCAGGAAAAACAACAACAGCAAGATTTGAACGAACAGAAGGTTATTAGGTAACAAAAAAAGAAAAACCAACTATGGAAAAGAAAAAAAATCTGAGAGCATAAAGGCCAAAATATAACCATTTTAAAGTTACTATGACACTTTTCACACTATCCCTTCTGATAGAAAGTTATCCCCTCTGAACCAACGTCGGTCAACTCATTCTAATTTTCCCTCTCGGTACGAAGAGAGATACAAGGTGAAACTTCCCGGTACCTACCCAGAGTAGTGCGCTGACGTTGTGTGTCCGGGCCGTGTACAGAACACCCCCCTCGGCCGTCGAGCGGAACCTAACCAGGAGCGTAGACACTCCGGGGGTCGCCCTTCGGCGTCTTGATTGCGTCATGGCCGCGAGCTGGGTCTTTTTGTGGTAGGAGGGTTTTACAGTGTATTTGATCACAGTGCTTGGTCCTAGGCTGAACGGCTGTCGCTCTGAAAGTGGGAGTAGGTCAATGGGGTTAAGAGGGGGAAAAATGAGGGAACACGTCATGATTTTATTCTTTTTTTGTTTTTTGGAGCCAAAATTGTCGATTCAAAGACTTGGGTTCATTTGAGTGTTTGTCTAACCGTCTGTCTCTCTAAGCATGTATGTGTGAGTGTATGTGTGTGAGTGTATGTGAATGTGAGTGTGTGTGTGTGTGTGTGTGTGTGTGTGTGTGTGTGTGTGTGTGTGTGTGTGTGCGCGCACGCGCGAATCTGTGAGTTGTGTTGTGTTGTGGTGTGTATGTGATGGCGTGTGTTAGCGCATTTATGAGTGTCTGTTCTGTGTGTACGATTTTTGGTGAGGGAGAATGAGAGGGGGGAGAGGGAGAAGAGGGAGAGAGAGAGAGAGAGAAGAGACAGACAGACAGACAGACAGACAGACAGACAGACAGACAGACAGACAGACAGAGACAGAGACACAGAGATAGAGGCAGAGAGAGAGAAAGAAAGAGAGAGAGAAACAGAGAGAGAGAGAGAAACAGAGAAAGAGACTGAAAGGAGGAAAGGAATGAGCGTGACAAAGACGATCACAGAAGAACTCACTGATAGCACAGGTGTCTCCGGTAAACTCGGCCGGACACTGGCACGTGACCTCGGACCACAGGTCAACACAGACACCTCTGTTGGCGCACTGCTGCTTCCCCTGGAGGCAGACACTCCCTGGCTGGCTCCTCGGACACTGGTCACTCACTCCGTCCACGTGCAGAGGCGCATCGACGCCCCCCGCACCGCTTAGAAGGTTCCTTGCCGTGACCGCCAGGTTCCGCCCGTTCACGGACACGCTGTGCATGCAGCCTTTGAAGTCGTAGCTGGCTACTCGCCCGGACAGAGCCAGAATGTGACTGAAGTTCCGGACACCGCCAACACTCACATACCGGCCTTGGACGCTGCTCGTCCTGGACATAAGACAAGAGAGAAGCTGTTTTTATTCACCTACTATGTCGAGTAAGCAATCAGTCCTGAATAGCTTATGTTACAGCAGCGTGCTCCCTATGAAGCGTAATAAACACGGGACGCCGAAAAAGCCCAACCAAAACAAAGTATGACAAAAACATAAACCGAGGATTAAAGAATAAAAATCACCGTAGGGATGAAAGGACATGGAAACTTTTCAAGCAAATTAGGTTGAAGAATGATTAGCTGTGGTTTCATGAATTCAACCCATGGTCGCATGATACATTATCATGACACCAGGTGATTTAACTATACATCCAATTAACACAGTAAAGCAGAGACAAAGCAAGAAGGATTTAAAGCACTGAAAAATAAGGAGAGTTCACGCTTTTTGAAAGGAGAAGGTTGATTTCAGTCCACAGTCGGGTGAAAATTGGTAAGAGTCCAATGGCATAGTGTGTGTGTCCGGGGGGGGGGGGGGGGGGGGGGAGACAGAAATCATCATACAATCAGTGAGACAAAACCACATCTAAAATATTGTATGTCAACCTTTTCATAGCTAGCGCCCATATTGTCACTTATTCGAGGCTAACATTTTTGTATCGCCAACCTTCAAACATTTCTAACTGGGCATTTAAATTTAAATACAAATCAGTCACTACCCAGGTGATCCCCACTGCCCACCAAAATAACCAAAGCGCCCACTAGTGGGTGATATCTCCCAGGTTGGCAAGCACTGATATCAAAGATGTCTGGCATAAACCTGGGGTTAAAAAAATACTGGATAGTGAGAGCGTTCCTGTGAAATAAATAATACTAACGCGGGTACTGAAGTGTGTCGGGAGAAACTGAGGACTTCAGTGCAAAGGCTTTAAAATATATCAAAGGAAGCAGAGAATAAAAAGAGGCAGTCACGCAGTCATGTACATGTGCATTCAGTTATAGACATCGGACTAAAATGAACCAGTGCGTATTTCTCGTTCTCAACGCCAAGCGCAACCTAAAATGGCAAAGCTTATCAAATCGAACGAAGCGTTTGGAAGCCAGTGCAAACAGTCGCGCGATCCATCATGCCGTGCACCACTTTTTTTTTACGCCGCTCGTTGCACATCAAAGGGAATCGCACCTCTCACGAACCTGGGCAATAGGACTCAATGCACCGTGCAGCACCATATCTCAGTCGTGCGCGCGAGCCACCTACTGCGACAGAACGCCCCCTTCACGGGGGGCTCTCTGGGGCTCTCTGTTCCCGTACGATCTCCATCAACAATATGGGTGTTGAATTTAATATCTATGCTCGTCTTTTGAAATTCGACTCTAATATCACATTATGTCAGCAAATTATGTTGTCAGAAATCAACCTTGCTTTCGTAGGCTCTTTTCAGAAGACTCAAAGCTCAAAATAACACTTGTTTGTAGTAGATGTTATCTTAAGCGTATCGCTATAATATTTTCCTTGTGGTTTTTTTTTCGTAGGAATAGCGTGGGCTTATACTTCAGATATATTCTCTTAAAAAATTAGACGGTAAAATAAGCAAAAAAGGAATTAAGTGGGACGAGGGGTTTGCGCTAATGTCATTATGTTTCTGAATATTCAACAACAAATAAGAATGGAGAATATTCTAGCATTTAAGTGCTGATCATGACAAACGCAGGACAAATTGCTTAATCTGTTAGCCGACGGCACAAATATTTACACCAGAGCAACATGCCCTGAGATAATTGCCGCCTTCTCGTTCTTCCTTTTAACCAAAAAAAACAAAACTGTCATCAAACAGAAGCTATTCGTCTCCAATTGCATACACATTTTAAGCAGGGTTTTAATCATGAATATCAAAGACACTTGAAAAAGAAAGGATAAAAGCCGTCAGGAAAATAAACCGATGCAGAAATGAAGGAGTTAAGTATCTCAGGAATGTTCGGGTACAGATATCAGAGCTGCCCAGTGAACTCCCGACGTGCATGGTCAAAACCCTATCCATTCCTTTCATCTCAGGGTCAGTGGGTTCAGTGTCCGATAAGACGCTTAGCAACAATGCTTTTTAAACTGACAGGAATGTGCAGATCTCAGATAATATATGATAGCTGTGCGTCTTTTCGCAAAGGTATGGTGGTGTCAACCCTCACAACAGCACACCACCTCTTTTCGGAAAAGAGTTGGGGGCTTTCTAGTTATCATGAAACATTATAGAAGGGGAAAAAAGCATATTAATGCGTTTTCTATGTTCGTCACAGTAAGTTCATATCACCAGCCTAATTCAATGAGAGCCTAGAATATCTTGTTTAAATCCTGATAATATTTATTCACAAGAAGACGCCCAAATCAGAACCATAGCTGGAGCACTCAGTTATATTGTTCCATTAAAAACAAAATATGAAACGAAATAACGAAACAAAACGAAAGTATATTTTGCCTCCTAAATATTCTAAATTATGTCTATGGGATCGAAGAAACACCTACATAACCCCCCCCCCCCCAAACCCCCTTTAAAAAACCCTCGAAATGTGCTGCTACGTTGCCTTTGGTCCGCTGCTCATCGTACAACATATAGTCAGCATCATTCCATAATCGCCCGCCCAAGTCATGTTTTGATTTAGGAGTTTTCTTTTTCTTTAACTTTCCAAAAATAAAAAAATAAAGAAGACACGTGACCCTTGTTGAAAGACGCTGACGATATGCCGATACCCTAGAATTACAAAGTTCTCTCTGCTCAGTGCCTAGCTTTGGCAAATCTGACGTTAAAATGTTTGAGGTCACAAACATGTCAAGCTTTCGAATACATTTCTCAGCATATCTTCGATTAATCTTACAAATTTGATATAGCGATAACACATTTGGCTTCTGACCTCATGGCCATAGTAACTCAAAACGGCCAAACACGTCAGTCAGATAGAACTTTGCAATTCTAAGGTAGAGATGTGTCCGCTTCGTCCCAAGAGAGTTAATACTACAACAAGAGCGATACTTACGGTGCAGGCACGGCTATCTCGCTGTAGCAGCCAGGTCGTGAGTTCTGGCAGGGTTCACAGGTCGAGTTGACACATCGCTGGACGACCAGAAACGCGCTCTGGAACGACACATCAGACAGAACACATGAGGTCAATGCAAGATGCAAAAAATAATATGACAGTATTTACGAAGTTTTCCTCACGGATTGGGGTTCGAATTCCTTCCAAACACACAAATACACACACAGAAAGAGAAAGAGAGAGAGAGAGAGAGAGAGAAGAGAGAGAGAGAGAGAGAGAGAGAGAGAGAGAGAGAGAGAGAGAATTTCAAAATATCGACTGGAGTCTTGTGATCCCTACCTCCCCCCCCCCCTTCCCAAAATGAAAAAAAAACAAAACATGTAGTATGATGTAGTTGCGCGACGTTCTTCCAGCCAGCGTGCGTGACTCGGTACGAAGAGGACAGATTATCTCGAGTCTAGATCAAGACTTTCTTACTGGAAAGTCCATCAAGTTCACAATCCCGTACTTCTAGCAACTGCAGTGAAAGAGTGCGAAACGTGTGAAATTGTAAAGGTTTAACGCCCCTTGCGACACGGTAAGGTTATAATTTAAGAAGCGGGACCTCCAAATTTCTTTACTGTCCACCTCTAATAGGACCGAGCCAAATGGGACATTTCAAGCATAGTGTCTTTCCCAACGACAAAACGTCGGACTGAGCTGATCCTCCAACTCCCGAACCCACAATCTCACGATTACGAATTCGGTAGCCTGTCCACTGGACTATCATCCCCACCATGCAGTGAGAAAGTCATTATAGTAAGCTAGCACTCGCCAGTTTTTATCAAATTATACTTTTCAATGCCTTTGTGAATGGCTCCTTATGCATGTTCGTTTGTTTGCTTGATCGTTTGTGTATTTGATTGGTCTGGAAAAGGTAGGGGAGCAGACTTGTCAGTGCGGAAAGGGTGCGGAAAGAGTGCAGATTTACGGAGAAAATTAAGTCGAAAAAAAGGGGTTGGGGGGGGGGGAGGGGGGAGGGGGGGACGTTCAGTGAAGCACCTGGTGATGTTTTTTTAAAAATCTTGTCGCGCGCCATTTCACAAACATGCACAATTACATAATTGCTCTGTTCGGTTCATAAACTGACTTTAAAAAGTCACAGGTTAAAGGCCTGCAAACGTGTGGTTTATTTTTAGATCTAGGACATGTGAAGTCCAGAAGAAAAAGCTGTATATGTACGAAAACGCGCTCGCCAAAGTTTATGATAAAATTGAGATGTAAATAATTCTTTGCCTGTAGTTTTCTCACAAAGCCCATGCCAGTGCAGCACCATAGTGCACATCCTACAACGATGCCCGATCCTTTCATTAACACAAATAAACAAGCTAAATAAATGGGAGAGATGTGTACGTTGCTTTAAATGTGCGTTAACAGGATGTCTTTCTTTTAGAGCTCAATGTAAACGATCGATCCATCCCCACAAACAGAATAAAGATAGGGACCGCGATAACGGCGTGTACATCAATACAAAAGCACAAAACCTCACGTGTTGGTTGGGAGGAATCCACAAAGACGCTGTTATCATTTCTGTCGCAAAAAGGCGAGCAGTGTTTACAATTTTAGAGCGCCTTTTTAGTGTTGTGGAAAGGAACACAATTCAGACTTTCAGGACACATCCTCTTCTTACAGAATACATCGACGGCATAAACGTACCATTAAAATAAAAAATGGGATTTGGAGCCATCTCGTCAAAAATATGTTCACAATGCGTCGCCGTGTTACGGTAGACATGCCAATGCAGCACTTATTGTCAGATGGGTTCCGAGTTCAACAAACCAAAACGATGACCTATACTGAAATTCTGGCACGGTTTGTGACTAGAGCAGTCTCTTTCTTTTTGACATTACAGCAATCGTCTACTTTCTGCGTCATTAAACCCAACCAACAAAATCCCTGCACTCAGTCATGCCTTGTTTGTCGCTCAATAAGCTTTTGATGAGGGTTTCCAGGCCCTTTAACTAGATCTGATATCACATTAATATTGTCATGGCTCAGCGGGAGCAGAAAGAAGAACAATACCAAATCTCAGCTTCTAAGTTTGTTAACTTTATGAAAACATCAAATCTATTATTTGTCTGCAATAAGATAATCCTTACATAGTTTGAGTGTGACTGACCGAGGACAAAGGACAGACATAGGAGAAATGAGAAGAACAGGGAAGAAACTCGCCCATAAAAATAAATATCCGTTCATTCTCAAGAAATTTCTGCAGGGAAACAGGGGAAGAGTTAGATGGGCTGAGGGGTAAATTGAGGGAGTCTAGTCCCTTCCCTCATCCTGTTTTGCGTTCTTTTACAGTATTTTCACACACGTGGCTCTACCCGCTGTGAAGCAAAAATCAGTGCTGTACGCTTAGCAAGCAAGGTACACATTTGCATCTATTTACAATTTACGACACCATGGGACACCCCATGGTCCCAGAGTCAGCGACCAATAAATTGAGGAATAAACAGAAAACGGGGAGCTACAAAAACTGAATTAGAAATGCAGGTTGTCACTGCTAAACGGCCCAAGACGCCGGGCTCTGCGGGACTTGGATTCCTCCAGAAAACGTTCCTCTTTCCCAAGCAATAATTTGATGGAAAAAAAAGGGAAGCAGTAGAGGCTGTTGGAAGGAGGGGGAGAGGAGGACAGAGAATCAAGTTGCAGGTTCATTGCAGGACGAATTGAGGGACACAGAGGAGACAGACAGAGATCAGAAAGAGAAAGAGAAAGAGAGATACATAGAGAGAGAAAGAGAGAGAAAGAGAGAGATACAGAGAGATAGACAAACAGAGAGAGACAAAGAGAGTGAGGGAGAGACAGAGAGAGAGAGAGAAAGACTGAAGTAGAGGGAGAAAAAGATGAATAGAGCGAAATGGCTGG